GAGCGCAGAGGTGTGAGGGGGGCCCCAAGATGAAAAGCAGAAGGGAGGGGAGGAGGAAAGCGAGCGGGCGCAATCCCACCCTTCCAGAAGGTCGTCAACCCCGAAGAAAGCAGACACAGGGTTCCTGACCCCTGCCGGGCACGCCCGGGCGCGGAGCGAGGGACCCCTCCGCAGCGCGCCTTGCCACTTGAGGCCCCCGCCCCGAGGAGCCGGCCGGGCGGCTGCGTGAACAGGTGACTTTATTCACTGCTTCCCGAATCGTCGAGGTCCCGGGACTCGTTTTCCGCCTGGAGATTAAGATCATTGCTCGCGTAATGAACTTAATGCTTTAGGGTAGAGGTGAGTGTGTCTGCGAGTGGGCAGGGGTAGGAATTACCGACCCGATCGATGGGAGACTGGCTTAAAACTAAATCCCTTTTCTCCAGGGCTTCACCGCCTGGTTTTCCCTCGCGGTGGGCTGAGAGTGCCTGGCTGGCAGGGGGCAGCGCGCGGAGAGGCAACCCCCGGGCGCGGCCAGCAACAACCGAGACCCTAAATGTCCTTCATCTCCCTGCCAAGACCCCCGGGGTACCCGTTTTTTGGGTAAAAGCTCTTAAAAATTCAAATGTTGGCGAACTGATTGCTCAATATGTTGTTTGTTTTCCCTTTCAGCTCCGCCTTGGGAGAGGACGTTACGGACACGTTGGCGGGCAGATTGGGCCAAAAAGTGACACCCCCCCACACACACAGCCCGCTCCCCGCCATCCCCCGCTCTCTCTCCCTCACCGCTCTTTTCCCTGGCTCCGGGATTCCCAACGTAGTGTAGACTGCACCTGGCCACCCTGAGTGCTGCGGACCGCTAACAGTCAAGGGGGTGCGGGATGGCACGGAAGAGGGGTTGAAATACGAGGGGAAATGCCGAGCCAGGCGGGGCACACCACTATCCAATTCCACGCCACTCAGCCGGGCGTCCAAGCGCCCACCCGGGCGCTTGAATCAAGTCATGTTTTTACTGCGTTCACGTGGGCCAAGGGCCTGCTGGGATCCTAAAAGGCAAGGGAAAGTTTGCAAAGGCTTTAAAGCGATCCCGAGGAGCTCCTGCCTAAGGACTCGGGGTGCTGCCCACGAACCCCCTACTGCGGCCCCCCACCCTGGCACTCGCGACCCGCCAGGCGGGCGCTGCCCGGGTTCCAAATGCCCTCCGAGCCCCCAAGCTCTCGGAGTCGCGCTCCCAGCGCCGCGGTGGGACTCGGCAATAGAATCCATCAAGAAGCCTCTAGTACACCACAAAGCACACCCGAGCGGTTCTAAGGGAAGGGGGCCCAGAGTGCCCCAGGAGGTGCCTTTCCACAACCTTCTGCACAGACCCGGGTCGTCTCGTCTCCAGAGACAAAGTCAGCAGTCCCCTTACACTTGACTTTCCTCTTGCGGTCGGGAGGAGATAGGAAGCCCCTGGAGATGCCGGAGCCGCCCCCCAAGGTGCCCTGGGCTCTAAGCATAGACCTGTCCTCACAGGCACAGGGTCCAGGCCTGGACGCTGTGCACGGTAGGACGCAGGGGGCAGCGGCGTCCTGGTCTGGACTCCACGCAGCTGCCGCGGCAGCCCGCGGGAGTTCCTCTCCCGCGCGGAGGTTGGCCCAGCCGCCCGCCACCGGCGTCTCGCCTCCCGCCCTGGCCCGCAGACTTGGGCTGGGGGGCGCTGCACACAGCAACCGACCCGGAGCGCAAAATCTGCGTGTCGCGTGGGAGAAGCGGGCGGGAGGGGGCGGGTAGGGCTTGCGTTTTTCCTTGTCAGAAGCTTTCGACTTGACTACGAAGTTTCCCAGTAGGCGCCTCTGCCCGGGGGTCGGAGCCTCCCACCGCCGCTCCTTCCCCTCCCTCCACCCCGCCCCCCGCCGGCCCAGTGAGCCGCAGCCTCAGCCCCGGCCTGGCCGCGCGCTAGGTCCCCCAGGCCGGGACCGCGCGCCCGAGCGCCGCGCCTGCCTCCCCGCCGCCCTCCCCAGGCTCCGCGGGGGTGCCTCTCCCCGGGGCGAAACTCGCCGGCCGGGCGCACAGTGAGAAGACACCCGCTGCCTCCCGAGGAACTCCTAATACCATCCATACAGCTTTAATGCGTTTATAATTCGATAAGTGATTTCAATTTGAAATTGTTAGTAACTAATTTTATGGGTAATTTTTCCACATGAAATATTTAAGCATCAGATTAAGGGAGCCAGTTCCGACACAGGATAATAAGGGGGTTTCCCCCCCACCCCCCGCGCCTCCGCCTCCCTCCGTTTCCTACCGAGTCGTTTTTCCAAATCCCCAAAAGATGGCAGTCGAAGCCGACATTCTTCTTTTCCTGCGGCTCTGCGAAGGGAGGGAGGGGGAGAGGGAGGAAGGAAGGAGGGAGGGAAGAAGGGGGGGCGGAGAGAGAAGAAGAGAGAGAGAGAAAAGAAAAGGAGAGGGAGAAACTAGATGTAGCAAGGACTTTTCAAACTAATTCTTTCACACGTTTTAATACAAGCAAAAAAAAAGAAAAAAAACCAAAACAGTGGTGAATTTCTTGGCAATGTCCTGGCAGAAAAGAAAGCCAAAAAACGTGCCTTGTAGCCTCTTTGGGGGTGTAAGAGTAGGGGATGTAAGAAACTCAGCACTTTCCAACTAAACCCTCAACTCAGAGCAGAAGCCAGAGAGGGGAGACCGGGGGAGGGGCAAACTGGCTTCTTTGTATTTTAACATTATATTCAAATACTGTACAACTAAGCGACTTGTTCTCTGAAGGACAGGACTCAGCAAATTACTTAATGGGGAGAGAAGAGGTGGGGTGAGGAAAGGTGAGGGGTGGGGGGCGAACTGCTGTGGGCGGAGGGGAGGCTGGGGCCAGCAGCGGATGAATTGCAGACCAGTTGCCAAACTTTTTTTTTTTTCCCCTGCTGCTGCTGCGGCGGCTGCCTTTGCTGCGCCTTTGCTTTGAATGTGGGTAACTAGGAAACAGCAAGCCGTCTGAGAAGACGGAATTTCCAACGTGTAAAATGTTCTTAACGGAACCATTGAGCGAGTGCAATAAGGCGTGAGGGGGAACTAATCTTCCCATTTAAATGTTTGTGGCAATTTTATCTAAATGAATTTTAATGCTAAACGAGGGTAATTCCCCATTTGTAGCGCGTTTACTTCTCTTTCCTGTGCTTTTAAAGCAGTCGAACATCATGCAATGAACAATAACAATAAAAATACTGTCAAGGCATATTATTCATTTCGAATGTGTTATAATTACAGCTGATTAAATATGATAGGGTAAAATATTTTTAATTTTTTAAAAAATATTTAAATCGTGCTAAAAGGTCTCACTCAACCAGCGGGCCCCCCCCCCATAAAAATAAAAAGCAGGTACAATTGTGGGCCCTTGTTTAAAAGAGGGCGTTCTGTTTTTGTCTTTTAAGAAACATCAAAAACACCCTCAGCACCTCTATTATTTCTTTCTTTCAGATAAGTGTCCTCAATAACCTCCAAGCTGGCTCTGAAATTTACAAGAGAAAAAGCTAAAATCGCATTAAGGGGGAGAGGGGGTGTCCAGGCAAGGGGAGAAACGATCTGAGGAGAGCAAGGCCCTCACAAAGCCGCCGCACGGAGCAGGGAACACAAGGAAAGAACACAGTTTGTTTTATTTTTTCTAATTCATTGAACACTAATGATCTTGAATCTTCATAGTCTCCATATTTCCCGATTCTTCTTCACTTGCACCCTACTCCTCCTCCTGGTGCTTGCCTCTCCCGGCCCCCTGCCCATCTCTCTCTCTCTCCCTCTCTGTCTCCTCCCCTTTCTTTCCCTCCCCCAACCGGCAAGAGCACCGTCAAGAATAAAGGCTGAAAATAACCCACGCACCCAGGCATGTACTGGGGAGGAGGGGCAAATGGATGGGTAGTTCATAAAGTTTAGTATTCATTTTTAAAGTAAATAAATGGTTGTTAACTGCTAGTAACCAGCTACCAAAAGAGAATTATTTCACTAATATGGACTATTTATGTCCCCAAAAAATTGCCAGTGGGGCCAAATCTGAAATTTAAACAAGCCCATATATGGGGTGGGGGCGGAGTGGGGCGGAGGGCGCTGCCGCGCGGAGGCGTTTGAGGGTCGAGCTTCGCTCCGTCTGCGCATCCACGTGTTTAGAAACAAGGCCCAATAAACAAAAGGTGAGAATGCGCGCTGCGCTCCAGCAGGTGAGTCAGTCAATCACACGTCACCTAGTAAACCCAGCCCACAGCTGGTTTCTCTTTTCAAATAGAAAATAGAATTGTTCAGGGCGGGTTTATAGGGTGACATGGGCCTGAAAGTCAGACTTGAGTTTAAGGCGCTCTTCTCCGACCCATCCTTTGTTTACAAAGCAATCACTCCTAAAAGGATGATTCTTGTAAAAGGAGAATTTGCCTTAATTAAAATATTTGTATATCTCCCTTAGCTTTGGGAAGCACTTTTTATAGCAGCAATTTTATTTAAATAAAATTATAAGCTATTCCAGCTTAAACATGTTATTTTGTACCATTTAGCTGGCTGCCATGCAGAAATTCTGTACAGCTGTTCTGGAAAATTGGTTAATAACCAGTTTTATCCAATGCGAACATAGAGAATATTTATAAAAATTAGATTTTGAAGTCTGGTCTCTTCAATTCACATAGTTAATTTCCTAATAAACATCTACTGCTCATCCTAGGTAACATTCTTAGTAAAAGACTTACCTCTGTATTTAGGTTTGCCATTATGTGCAAGAATAATTTCACTGATACTAGGTGAGGAATTCTGTTGGATGCAATCTGAGGCTACAGTTAGTTTAGTGCCTTTGGTCCTTAAATTTGCTGATATTAGGAGTTCATTAAGTCAGCTTAAAGAAATCAGTGACTATTATCAAATAATTTACTTTGTGGTTAAAATTTTCAAGTACAAATATGTCTGAGGGAGCTAAAATTAATTTTTCCTATTTACTGCATTAATCCTTAAAAATTTGGGGGGGCAGTAAACAAATTTTTCAAGCAGTGGAGTCAGCA